TTCTTTGGCGGAGAGTAAGGCGATTTTGAGAGATAGAATTTCTTTAGGAATCGTCGATCTTGTTCAAGCTGCACTCAATACACTTTGCGTATCGCTTCTTAGCGGAGAGAAACTTCGCCACTCCGTAAAAAGGCATTCACCATATTTTTATCGTTTTGCGTATATTTGAGATATGGCTTTAAAGAAAAATATTACATAATACTATATAAACTTTACTTTATTTCGTTAATGTTGTAACGGACGAATAAATGCGATTTAGTAAAATTTGGATTGCTTAATTTGTCTAAGGATTCGTATTGAAATGTATTGTGCATTAAATTAAATTAGCTTTGCAATTATGCTATGAATTGTTACTTTGCTTTTCCTTTCTCTTTTTTCTTGTATCTGATAACTTAAAACGAGATGAAAATATGAGTGACTTATTCCTCGTGATAGTTATTGTATTATTATATTCTTTTTATAAAACTTAGACATATATATACTTGAAGTGTCAACATAAAAAAGTAAGAATACGTCGAAATTTTTAATTACTCTTTGTCAGAAAATTATAATTTCCACAGAGAACTTTATCTCTACAAAATATTTTATTCTTCTAAGAAGTCTTCTTTTATACATTAAGGTCATACGGAATACATACATTTGCTTCAAGGATATTGGATTAATTTACTCCAGAATTAATTTCTTTATTTATTTCTATAATACCTATGCCTGAAAAAAATAATCTTTTTTTTAATCTATAAAGATTGACTAAAATAAGAAATTTTTATTCGATCACTTCACAAAATCAACGTCAAAACTACTTTCAAGGCATGGCTCATACGTTAAATTCCACGATACAACGTGGAATCAATATATTGTATTAGATATTTTCTTTTGCTACAAAACTTTTATAGGTCATTGAAAAATAATATCCAATGTAAAAGATTTAGAATTGTCATAAAATGTTTCCCATGGGCAACATATCTGCCGAGAGAGAGAGAGAGAGAGAGAGAGAGAGAGAG